TTGCAATGCTCCACAAAGCAGGTTTTACACTACAATGTTTAAAAAACTCTTGAGTAGTCTTGCCATAATTCCAGATGTGTAACATGGATTTAAAAAATTCTACTTTATATTTGCATTTTCAGCACACACACTGTTCTGATAGCCATAGATGGATGTACAATTTGGTGGAAAGAATAATATGGATACATTACCTTTCACTAAAATTTTAAGTGAAGTATGAGCCGAAGAGTTGTGTACAACCAGGACAATTTTTGCATCATCAACCAGTTTTGTTGGTGGCTTTAAGGTCCAGATCTTGGACTTTGTACTGTTTAACAGAACGGTGGATTTTTCCTTAGAGATATTCTCACAATATCATACAATATAATCAGTAGCTATGTTTTAAACTACTACAGCCTTAAATAGAAAGCTAATCCGATCAACAATAATGACAGCATTTAACTAAACAACTGAGCTAAAATGCTCTCTCTCTCTCTCTGGCATTTTATAGCTTTTTTAAAATCGGTCACACAAGATATTTCTGGAAAGGAAGAAGAGTAGAGTTACGGCTACAGCTAAGATAGTAGTCAATTAAGTTATTCTAATTAAATATAAATTTACGAAATAAACTTTTATTCAATTCATGTGCTGTAGTATTTTTACTTTTTCCAAAGTAGCTTTCTTTTAAAATACGTTTCATGCTGCATTGTACAGGGAAATAAAACAATTTTAATTATAATTCTATTAGAAATATCTAAATACAAAATTCATAACAGTATTATTTATATTTATTACTGTGCACTTACTAAAATTATTTTAATACATACACACTCTTTTGCAGAAAATTGAAGCACCATGAAGGAAGTGGTTGTTTTTGATGAAATTGAATATGTGTATAGCTCATACACAGATAATAAAATTATTAAAAAATCAAGGTACTTGTTTGCGACTCACAATCACCCATTGAATGTTTGAATTAGTAGTTGGCCGGTCAAGTGAAGGAGTGATAGAAGTTCCTAATGTCATCCTGCAACATGTTCTGCCAGGCATTCATCAGTTGTCACTCCAGATCTGTGATGTTTTGTAGTGCCCAAATCTGGCGGCGTACTATGCCCCAGACATGCTCGATTGGTAAAAGGTCTGGTAACATTGCTGGCCAAGGAAGAGTATCAACTGCACAAAGGCAATCCAGAGATATGCGAGCGGCCTGGCATTATCTTGTTGGAAAATGGCCCCGTGATGACGTGTCATGAAGGGTAATACAACTGGCCGCAGGATGGTATCACCATATCATTGAGCTGTTAAAGATGTATGGAGGATGACTAAAGATGACCTGCTGTCATAAGAAATAGAGCCCCACACCGGGGGTTATGACTGTATGCCTTTGTAAAACAAAAGCTGATTGGAACTATTGGCTGTCTCCTCTCCAGACACAAACAGGGTGGTCATCTGTTTCAAGAGTGAAGCGGGATTCATCACTGTACACTAAACGATGCCAGTCTGATGGCAGCCATGATCGTTTGCGACACCACTCTAGACAACTCCGCCAATGTTGTAGGGTCGAAGGTGAACGTCTTAAAAGCGTCTGTGAGCGTAATCCCACTTCAGACAAGCGCCGGGAGATGGTGGACAGTACCACAGGAGGTATAGACGTGGCTGTAGTGCGTTGAATAGTCGACAGTGATACCGTTAGGGCGGTTCGGGCCTGGTGAACAGTTATCCTATTTTGCCTCTCATTTGTGCTCCTTAGCCAGGGTTGCCACGCTACCTGGAGAACCGGGAAAAGTCAGGGAATTCGAAAATTGACCAAAATATTCAGGGAAAAGTCAGGGAATTTAAGTCAGGGAATTTAAGGGAAAAAGTTCAGGGAATTTAAGTATTTTGTCAAAATCTGGAAAAGTCAGGGAAGTTCATACAACGATCCCGCCAAAAGAAGCGATTTTTGCGCCGACGTCGGAAGAGGTAACTTTTTTGGCGAATTATGTATCACGTGAGTGTCATTCGGGTAGCTGGCATAGAGCCAATTTTCGCAGTTCCAATTTGATTGTCTTTTAGAAAGGCAAAGCAACTTTCCCGCAACTTTTGGTTTCCAATATTTTCGAGAATCGCATGTGAAATGCATGAACTAAAGAAAGTACCTGTTCTCGTATAAAACAAAATGGGTTTAATCCTAGTATACGGTACCATGGAGGTTAGAATCAAAGAATATGTATTGTAAAGAAGGAAAACCTCTCTGCAACAGACGTGGCTGTGGCTCCGTTCCATCATAGAGGGAAAACAGCTGTGCATGTCTGATATATCTGTCGCCAAAGCTCGAAACTGGTGTCGAAGTTCGAAGGTCATATTATCAAGAGTTCATAAAATGAATATAGTTTAAAATTTCTTTAACCACTTGCGCTAAAAAGACGTGCCACGCACATCAAGATGCTTTTGTCTCAAACCGTGAGCGACGTGAACACCACGTCGATAAGCATTTATCGCAAAAATGAAAATAACGTGGTGCACACGTCGCCTAACAACGAGATTGTTTATTTCTCGAGTTACAGCTCTGGATTGCACTCGCAGATGCGGAGCGGCGTAAATGAGATACTTTACAGCTTGTTATATTGTAGCGCACGGCACCGCAACCGTGAAGTTTAGTCTTAGCGAAAGTGGTTAAACTCTAAAGGAAAAGAAAATATTTTTTGGCGCAAGTAAATTAATTCATGGATTAGTTATTTTCAGGGAAAAAAAAAACTACGAAAATCCGTTTTTTAAATTATTGCGAAAAATCCAAGAAAAAAAATCTTTTTAAACCTTTTTTTTTTTTTTTTTAATAAATACCTTGCCATTTTGCAGTAAAATAAAAAAAATAGTATCAGTCATCTAGGCTAGCCATGTAATATAACTATATTCGCTAAAATATCGTTGATTATTCTAATTCAATTTTTAAGTAATTACTTTTATGTTATTCGTATAATTTAATGTTGCTTCTTCCCTCTAAATTTATTTATTATTAGTAAATAATATTTCCAAATTTCAGGAAATTTTCTCTGGCATAATCCTGAAATTAATTATAGCAGTATGATGACATACCATCACGAAATTTAATGCACATATTTTTTCCTTATGTATGCTACGAAATAAATATAAAATAGCTCAATTTATTAAAATAGATTTCTTTCTTTCGTTTAGCTGCAGAATGTCTGCAAAAAAAGCCTTATTTTATTCCAGATTGGGAAGATTCTAATCTCAATCTTCAGTGGAGAAAACAACAACTATTATAATTATATTTGTGTTTTCAAGTGTTAAGGTGCCTTTTAAGAACATCCTCATGCAAATTAAATTTACCTAAAATCTAACCTAACTATTTAGCATTGCGTTATGATTTATAAGGACCGGATTAGCCTCGTGTTGAACTGGTGATGATCATGAGTAATAATTGAATAAAACATACATTTGTTATCCAATATATATATCTTAACTTTTATTAAGTTTCTTAAGTGGAAAACTAAACAAAATTATCAAACAAAGTATACCAAGAATAATTAAGAATAAATGTCCTCTGGGAGTTATTGAATAATTAAGTGAATTTGCTACACAATACAAGTAATACCATAATTAATTTACCTCTTAGCACAGCCAACGTACATTACGCGGATAGACTGGAATTTTCTTGAAACACACCTGGAAAACCTGGAAAAGTCAGGGAATTTCATTCTCCTGTTTGAGTGGCAACCCTGCTTAGCCTTCCAGAGCCATCATTTTGTTGGCAATTTTCTTTGTAGCAACCATTGCTGCCAACAATTTTGCACAGCTGTGTCTGTATGCTGCAGGTGGCAGCCTATTGCTCGGTATGACCACCCTAGCTTTACGCAATCCTACAATGCGACCACGTTCGAAGTCGTTTAGTTAGCTGTAAGGTCTTCCATATCGTCGTAATGGCATCTTTTGTTCCTTCTTTACGGAGATACAACGGCAGCAACAAAAAAAGATAAATTTTCCGCCTCTGTTAATGGTTTTATACTTTGCAAATTGCACACTAGAAATGCACGCTATGATCGCAGTTCCTGTTCATTTGCATGTTCGATCAAGATGTTTTTGCATACCGAATTTCGTCACAATCGCAAAAGCCCTTCTTGGTGCTTCGATTCCCCCCCCCCCCCGGAAAAAAAGAGTGTATAAGATAAAATTTTAACTTTTCTAACTTCCCAGCATTTTGTTTTAGTTTGCTAATTTTCCTATTAAAAATAGCAACATGCCTTTAATTCATCATCCTGAAGTGTTTCATCGCTGAATTAGAAATTCATAGAATGTATTCCTAATGATGAAGCATAAGGTTACAGAATAATAAAAAATAAATTGTTCCTACTCTGTCCATTAACATTTCTTTGCATATCTGAGTAAAAAAATCAGATTAATGCTATTAGAACATCTTCTATTATGAAACATTTTAACTAATTATAACATGAACAATCACTTCTAAAGTATACTCTAAAATTTAAAATCATATGCTTATGCTGTGCTTAAAATATAGAATTGTTTTTCACAAATACTTTTTTTTATCATTATTAAAAAAAAAAAAAAAAAACTCCATTGTCATTTTATCTCTCATAGTTTGAATTTATTTAATGTTTAACTTTTTTTTTTTTTCCAATATCAAATCAATTTGGATTTTGTACTGATTCTAGATATGTTGACATCATGTTTTATTGTGTTTGAGGACTTTCAGTATTTGTTTTTTGCAAAGACAAATACTGTCTTACTATACTCTTAAGTATAAATGAGTTATAAATTTCCAAAAAGTTACTTGGAATTAAAACAACTGGTTCTTAAAATACTGTTACTGATCTGCTGAAAAAGAGACACAATTTGTTTTCTCTATAGGTATATTATGATAACCATTTAATTTTGTGGTTTCAGTATACTTTTTAATTTACTATTCTGTTTTTATTTCGATTAAGAAAAAAAAATTTTTTAATTACTTTATATTTGGTTTGATTTATAGTTTGTGAAATAAAACTAATTTTAATTTCTTTCAGTCGTTTTGTACCATCTGTAAAAAAAGTGACGATAGATATTCAGACACCTTCAAAAATTCCGGTCTTCATTGAAAAGTGAAGTAAATACAAAGCACAGTCTTGAAAGTCACTGTCTACCAAATTGTTATATGTCTTAAACAAGCTGTTAAAAGTTTCATTTTTAAAAATGTTTAATAGTTATGTATATTATATTTTATCTTTACACTAATTCATTGAAGATATGTATTTTAATGACTTTATTAAACATCATTTTTATTATTTTTACCATCTTGGTGTAATGTGTTTGTTTTTAAAATCCATTGCACAAAATTTTCTAACATCAGCATTCTACGCTGACAGTTCAGAATTTTTGTAGCATTTTCACAGAATATCTCCATTGTCGTTGTTCATCACTTCATAAAATTAACCTAGAGAAGTGTGCTTGTCCCAAAGAACTTAGTCATCTTTGAATTCTTTTCCAAAATTATTAATGGTTTTCACCAAACTACCAAAAATATTTTTGGAGTAATATATCAGTCTTTGGAGTCCAAAAACTGATGTATAAGCAGTGTATTATGCCTTTCATTTTTATGGCTCTTGTGCTTGGGGACATGTTCTTGCAAAGAAGGGTAACAAAAGAAATCCAAGAAATCTTCAATGGAGAATTCTATGTATTATTAAGCCCCATTCACATGCAACTCTGTTTTGCATAGGCTAAAGATATGTATTGTACATAGATGTTCTTTGAACAAGCACCCTTTGTATTACGGAGAAAAGTGGATATGAAGCAGTTTCGTGTTCAGGACTGTTCAGGTGCACATCATCTTCCATCTCTTAATTCTTAAGCCACTACGAGGAATGATGTCCAAACATGAATTTGATTGCCAGATTTCTAACGTTTGTTTACATGTTTTTTGACATTGCTTACTATTGCTGTAGAACGCTATCAGAGTTTTTGTTATGGCATCTCTGGATAATAAAATTCTGTCCATTTGCTCATAAAAATTGAAAGTAATTTTACCACCGGCTCCAGATATTCTTGGGCCTTGGTACCCTCCAAATCGATGAAATTACCGATTTATATTACGCCCGAAAGGGCTTTTCTTTAACATTTTGTGTGTTACTCTTATTTATTAAATATATTCTTCACACTTAAAACATAAAATTCAATTGAACAGCAATATCTTGAAATAATTTTAAAAGAGCATATCTTTAGAATTTCCTATACAGTCTCACATGCTGGAGATATTTTTTTTTCCCCTTTGCTGTGTTGCCATTGCTCGCTTTGAAATCGTTGAGTTTCTTAATCAAAAACTCATAAATGCTTTACAAAAAATGAAATAGATAATAAAACAAATTCCAAATTTGGACTTACAGATGCCCGTATTCGGGTGGAGACACACTTTATTCAAAATTTGATGGCTCTAGGTACCTTTGTTTTATTACAATGCGCGAAACATACATACATACATTTATGCAGCTTCTTCATTATTTAATTTCTTTAACTATAATACAGGACGATAATATTTGGTGGCAACAATTTGAAAAGTAAAACGCCATAGTTTTCAACATGCAAAAACGAAATTAACAGCCCTTCTGAGCTAATGTCCTTTGGGCTACCCTTACTACTCTGAAGAGAAATTTGAAATGATCTGACTGTAATAAATCATATAAAATGGCTTTTAAAAATTTTGACAGCACTTTAACCCGTTCTGGCATGCTACCTTTTAAAGTTGGAGTTTTAATTTAAAAAAAAAAAAAAAAAAAATGGTAGGTAGTCTAATTAGGCCTAGAGGAGTACACAAGTAAAACTTTGTGAAAATAGCACTTATCTTTTAATTTTGTGGGTGTGCCCAAAGTGGACGCACTGATTGAATAGAGCTTCGAAAAGAGTGCTGAAACGAGCATTGTTGTCAATGAACTGACCAATGAGATGCGGAGAAACAAAGAATACAGACTCTCAGTTGTCCTAGATTATCGGTGAGCTTGGTCTGGGTACAATCTAGGGTTTGCCGTTTGATTTAGGCAAGATTTCAAATTAGAAATTTGAAACTAATATAGAATAAGGAGATTAGCATACAGCCAAAAAAATAACATAGAAATTTCTTTTCAAACAATTCCTTTTATACCCTAAAAAAATCTGGAAGATTTCTTTGAAAAATGAGGGTCTTAAAAAACTAAACATGGCTAAAATATATGGGCTGATTTGTGTTGAGCTGCCATCTACTATAAATAAAGAAGGTTCAGAGTAACCTATAAATCCTTTTTCATTCAATTTTTCTGTGCGTACAGAAAGGAATTTTTAGGTGTGTCCAGAACGGACACACTGGGCCGCAAAGGGTTAAATGCCATATCCCCCTCAGTGTGCTCCGGCAATGCTTTGTTCACTGCCTAGTTCTTATACGCTCATTACGGCTCTTGAAGCCAGAGCAGAATCGTAACTGAATTCAGAATTCTTAAAAGGGAAATTAATTGATGAATTTAACAAGAGGGTTGAAAATAGTTCATCAGATTCAAAGGCATTTAAAGCCAAGACAAAGAGAGAAAAGTTTTGCTCATACTGTCATAAAAATAATCATTTTAAATCAGAGTGTCATCATCTAAAATCGAAACAAAAAAAATGAACCGCGCCAAACTCAAAGAAAACACGCCAAGCAAAGAATGCGTGTAACATCGGGATGAATCAACAAGAAACAAAAATTAAAACACCGGAAATCGAATCCAGATGGAATGCCTTCGCTCTGTCTGCTGACAAAATCATACATCAATCGCCGGAGAGTTTTATTTTCGACAGCGGAGCAAGTAGCCACCTGGTAAATAACAAGAAATAAGCCCATAAATTCGTCAGATATTATAACTGCGAATAGGCAATGTATTAAATCAGCGGTGATTGGAACTGTACGTTTTAAAACATTAAATGCTAAACAAAAAATAGTAACTGAAGTTCTCTTATCGGAAGTTTTTTACTCTCCTGAATTAGAAACGAATTTAATCTCAATTAAGAAAATAACGGAAAAAGGACTTTCGGTTCTGTTTGAAGGAAATAAAGGTATGATCGCAAAAGGAGATCAGATTATTCTAGAATGTCATGCAACTAATAATCTTTACCAAATTAAGCCAATCGACAGGAATAATGAACCATCAGCTCATGTAACATTTCAGTGTAAAAATGAGAAATGCCTTCAAATTTGGCATAGACGCTTTGGTCACAGAAACGATGACGCAATCAAGCAACTTGTAAACAAAGATCTCGTTGAAGGAATTAAACTAGATAATTGTAAACATGATACCAAATGCATTCAATGCATAAAATGTAAACTAACTGAATTCCCGTATCCCAAAGAATCGAAATTCAGATCATCTAAACCGCTCGAACTCGTTCACACTGATGTTTTAGGATCAGTACAAACACCGTCTGTCAGTGGATATCTGTATTTCTTAACTTTTATTGATGATTACAGCAGGTTCACAAAGATTTACCTAATGAAAAAGAAAATTGAAGTAATTTGTAAATAATAAACTAAAATAATTTATTGCTTTTACAAACAATAAATTCGGAGAAAGGTAACAACGCTAAGAAAATTCCTCCATGAAGGCCCTTCCATTAGGCAGATAGCCCTCGAAACTTTGCCATAATCACACACACAAAACGCTAAGAAGTGATAACGATTAGAAAGTCCTCCACGAAGGCATCCCTCAGTTTAGACAGATAGCCCTCGTGTACTTTGCCATAATTTAATAATTCCAATCCCAAGTGATAATGGCAGTAAGTAAGGAACTTGAAGAATATCTTATAAAACATGGTATAAATCAGCAGCTTACTGTACCGTATTCTCCAGCACAAAATGGAGTCAGTGAACGCAAAAATAGGTCTTTGATGGAGATGACAAGATGTCTTTTAGCTGACTCAGGTCAACCTCACAGATACTTGGCAAAAGCAGTGCATACTACAAATTATTTGCAGAATCGTATGCCTACAAAACCAAATGCAAAAACGCCATACGAATTATGGAATAACAAGAAACCCAACCTCTATGATCTGAAGACTTTCGGGTGCAAGGCTTTTGCTTACATCCATAAATCTGAAAGGGGTAAACTGGATGATACTGCTATAGATGGAATACTCGTCGGCTACAACAGCAGAAGTAAAGCTTACAGAATTTTAGTCCTTGGAGACAAAATCATAATAAGTCGATCTCTACGATTTATTGAAGACAATGGAACTAACTAGCCTGTAAGCGTCTCTTTAAACCAGGATGAAGAAAATTCTAAGGAAGAAAGCTCAGAACAAGAAGAAATAAAAATTGAAGAATCCGAAAATGAAGTAATATAAGAACACGAAGAAGAAACTTTGGAAGTCAGAAGATCGAACAGAGTCACAAAAGGTAAACTTCCTGACCACTACGGATTCCATGTCAAATAATCCAATCTCCGCCGAACCCAAAACTTGGAAGGAAATTCAAAGTTTTGAAGAAAAAGGAAAATGGCTAACAGCTGTTCGAGAAGAAATTAATTCACAAGAAGAAAACAACACTTGGGAATTAGTTCATTTACCAATAGGATGCAAATGGTCTTTCTTTCAGACAAATCTCTATTAGAAGATCCTTGATACCAAATTTCGCCAGATTTACCTTTAAATATGATCCTGCTCTGTCTAACTACACAGCCTTCACTTCTCAGATTCTTATCTTCCTTCTCATGTCTTGTCAAAACACTAGAAAAGAAATTCCTGACGTGCAATAGTTCAAGCTTGAGAAAAACTCGAAAGATACTCATGCTGATGGTTTAAAAACAAGCTACTCTAATATGTTCAAACAATTTCTAAGTTCATCCCTGCCTTATTTGTTTTTAAAATAGTCCCAATGGAAAATTTCAACGTGTTGTAGTATTAGCTTGAGAGAAAGTGTAATGTAATCAATCCAGCAACTAAACACTAATTTGAATAAAAAACTTAGGAGAAGTCCCCTACTACCTCCATAAACCCTCGCATTGCCAAAGAACCATAAACCAAAAATGTGTAAATCAGAAAAAATTTCACATTTCAAAACTCAACCTACTATATGCGCGAAAATTGAGAGTACTGCAAATGAAGATGATGATCTGAGTATACTGCCACAATTAGATATAGCTAGTCATTATTATATAGTACTGAAACCAGTAACATGCTCTGTCAAATCTTTCATTCTGATATTTGTTGTAATTGATTTGCTTCTAAAGTCATATTCGATAGAGCTTTAAGGACAAAGTTATTCAAGAAAGAAAATTCAGCATACATATTCAATTAC